ACACATCTTTAACTACATAAGTGATGCGGATCGAGTGCTTTGCCGGATCCGATCCGGGCTGAGAGCACTGAAGCCCGCGCGGGAAAATTGTTCAGAAAGGATTGTTAGAAAGGTGTGGAAACTCACATGCCATCCAGTTATTATATTTTTTCTGTTTCTTTGTTTCGTAATTACTGAGTGCGCTGAGGGGGGCGGGCAGGCAAGGCAGGCTAGAAGAAATTTGCTTGGTTTGGTTTTTAAGGCACCATTAAAATTGCTTTTCTTACACGTATTTTTCCTTTGCAAATTTACAAGTTGTCAACAAAAATGTCGTTAATAATTACATTAATTACACGCATATTAAGTAAAAATTGTTTGTGAATTCCTTTTTTGAGCTATTTCTCTTATACACACACGCATACAATACATACATAATGTAGTTATCCCTTTTCCATTTATGTACTTTGCGTTTAATTTATTTATTATTAATCCCAGTTACCCGCTGTTGACCCGTCTATCTCCGTAGCCCTCATCGTCATCGTCATCGTCTCTCTACTCTTTTTTTTAGTGTTTTCCTTTGTTATTTTTCTTGTGTAACTTGCGCAAAAAATTTACTAAATATTTCAAATACATTTAAATACAAGTGTACATAATAATAATAATAATTATATATATTTAATTTATGTATATTTATATAATTTATTTATATATAGATATACGGTTTCTTGACTGATTCATCCTCTGATTTCTCATATCATCTCTTTAATCATCTTAATAATTTTAATTTTTCCCTTTTCCGTTCCCCTGGGGAACTGAAGTTCTTGATTTCAAAATGATTGCTTCAAATTGTTTGTCGTCAGCGAAATATATATATATTTGTCACTAAAATCACGAAATAGTTTCGCATATGATATCATTTATCCTTCGCCGCCTGCCTGTAAGTGGAGCTAGCTACCTATCTTGGCGCCTGGCTCGTCCTTCGTCTCCTATTGTGTTTATTATGTATGCTTGCTCATTTAATTATAGTATTACCTCTTTATGCTATTAACAATTTCCTGTAATCAAGTTTGGTTGTCTCATAAGTTTGTCTTTCTTCTTGTTTTGGTGAGAGAGCGGAAGATGCTAAGTGAGTAATGAGTAGGGATGGATATCGAGAAGAAAAGTCGTACAAATATTTGAAAACTTTGATTTAACGACAGTTTTAGATCGAAAAATATAGCTTTTAACTTTGAAGTATCAAAGAAATATATATATTTAATTTACTTGTGTTCTTATCCGCTTTTATTATGCAGATATATGAAACAGAAGATCGACTTATTGCATATGTATTGAATTTTAGTAAATATTCTCTGTCATCCCTAGTAATGAGTGATTCAACTTAAGGTTTATTTCGAGTGATGATACAAGTGATAAAGGATATATAGATTGAAATCATAGAGATATTCCTAGATAGATACATGCATTGCGTTCTCTGGGATATGTTTGCCTTTATATGTATGCATTTGTTCGGTTTAATATTTTGTAACTTCTTTCTGTATCTCGTGTGTATGTTGGTTAATATAATATAAGTTGTGGTTAGATTGGTTTTCTTTTGCAGTGGATATGTTCTTGTTTTGTTTTGTTTCCTTTATGCTTTGATAAGTCGCCTTACTAAATAATTAATATGTAGAATAAAATTTGACACATTCTGCCACATTTGGCAAACTGATGCTCTCGCTTTCACCTTTGCCTTCGTGTTTTGACACCATTCAGAGGCCCTACTGTACAGTGAGTATTATGTGAGTTGGTGTGTATGTAACTGAACGATCTTAAAATTAATTTCCACACTTGTCAATCATGTCTTCATGTTTTGTTTTTACTGCCCAGCCTAGCAACTAAATTCGAATAAAATTAATTTAATTTTAACATTGAAAATCAGTTTATTTTTGATGTTTTCTTTTGTTGTGGTTGGTTTTTGTTTTGTTTGTTTGTTGTTGTTTTTTTTTTAGTTTTGTTTTGCGTATAAATTTAACAGCTAATAAATTAAAATTATACTTTAATTTAAGCATAATTGTAATATAATGTTTAAATCCATTTCTCATATTTTCCACACGCCTCCAGAAAAAGTCTTTTTAATCGCCACAAAAAATGTGCTTAAAATTATTATTGTAATTCGAATTGATTTCGCTAATTTGTAAGTAGATTAAATATGTGTTTGTTTTGTTTTGTTTATTACCATTCAGCAGTTGGCATTTTTCTTTTCGCTATTAAAAACCGAAACGATAGAAACTACAACAATTTTGATAATAGTAATTATAATTGATGTTAATTCACAATTGGAAATCCCTTTGCTAGTTCGATTTTTTGTCTCTTCAGTTGATTTTTGTTAGAATTATAACTAATTTTGAATAAATGAGTAATTTGGTTTAGAAGATGGATAGAACGAAAGTGGGGTATAACTAGTAATTATAGTCCATAATTGTTTATATATGCGTACGTCGTAGTTTACTTGTAATTAATAAACAGAATCAATTTTGCACATCAGTCTAAACATATTCAAAAATCACAAATACAATTTCGATAACAATTACCATAATAGAAATAATAAAAATAATGAATTATCGTATCAATATATCGCCGTGTCTATATATAATATATAATTATGTGTGAACATATGTGAACACAAACAACTAACAAACGCAATTATCTCAATGCAATTGGCCGTAATTATAATGTAATCATCATACCTTCTGTCTTTGATTGCTTGTTGATTTGCATGTTTGTTGGTTGTTCTGCTTGTCTGTTCAATGTCTCCTTCGTGTTCGTTTCCTTAATAACTTTAAATCCTTTTGTTTTGTTTCATCTCTTGCTTGTTTTTTTGTTTGTTTGTTTGCTGTTTCCTTTTTTTGGTCATACTCGTGTGCACAAAACGTTGGCTTAGAATTAACTGCATTATGAATTTTCCTTTCTGCCTTTCTGGGTTTTCTCTCGCTTTCATGTTTATGTTTACGTGGTTAATTGATTTTTATATATTTTTTGCTTGTTTATTTTGTCTTCATTTTGACTAATCTTACAATTAATTGCTGTTCTGTTCTTACTTGTTTGGGGGGATCGAAACCCCCCGCGAAAACGGTTTAACATAAAAGTTCTTGTTGTGGTATTCGTTTTGCCCTTTGCATTTAAAACTTAATGAAAAAGTATCATATAATTAATAAGAATCAATGAATAAATATAACGTGTATGCATTGTATGGTTCTGTCTCTCCGCGTGTGTGAGTGTGTGTTTGTGTTTTTATGAATTCAAAGTGTGATTGCTGCTGACATTGTCATCATATATGATATATGCTTTCTTCTTCTTCTGATCTCCCCTTGATGTTGCAGATGTTCTGGTTTATGTTTTATATATTGCTTATGATTTAACATTTGACGTTTCATGTTTGCTGCCTGCTCCTGCTTGGTGTTGTCCTCCAGTTGCAGTTTGTCCTCCTCCTATTCTCCTCCTGCTCCTCCTCGATTTTCAGTTGCTGTTGTTTATTGCTTGATTGTTGTTTGTTGCATTTAGTGAATGGGTGTTTTAACAATTGCACTGGGCGCAAGGTAGTGATAACCGGGTATGGGCAGACCAGCAGTCTCCATGGATATTCTGAAAAGTCGTAAGTAGATTTAGAGTTGGTATTAAATGTTTCGTAAAATGAATAAATTCTTGGTAGACAACCCCAGCAATCCTTAGAAGAACAAACTTGTAATATAAAGATGGATAACGCCTATACATTTATCTGTGAAATGTAAGACTTTGTGAGTGTAAGAATTTAAAAATAAATGGCATTTTTTGTGAATAAGCACATATCAAGCAAGTGAGTTTGTGGGCTTAAGGATATAGAACGTGGGATAATTGAGGGGCGGTTACTAGAAATGTATATGGCGTTACACATCTTGTTATTGCAAGTTTAATTTTGGCAGAACCCCCTTGGGAATCTTTCATTACTGAACTCTATTTTAGTATTCATTTTTCACTTTATTACAAACTCATGTATGTAGTTTCCATCATTGGTTTCTTCATTGCATATAAATATGTAGGTTTTATGTCGCTATTCTTAATGTTCCTTTCGCTTGATGTTCATTCTGTTCTTGTTGTTGTTCTACAGGTAAAGCCTTTTCTAGGTGTGTGTATTTTTGTCTATTTTCTGTTTGTTAATGTCAAGAAGTAGTATTACATTCAATACAATACAATACAATATATGTATTTTGCGTGTTACGTTACGTTACTTGAATTTTTAGTTTGTTCTACCTTTGTGTTATTATTTTGTGGCATAATATAAGTATGTAGGGTATGTAGGGTATGTATGTATGTAGAGATGTATGTATGAATAGTTAGGAATATAATTTGGTTATAAAATCGTAAGCCCGCTTAGCTTAGGGTGTGGTTTTACATAATGTGTGTCACTTGTCTCGCTTACAACTACAGCTAAATGTATAGTAATAATATTAATAATAATAATAATAAGAGAAATCATATCAAGTATGAGTGATACTTTATAAAGTAGCTACAATTATCTTTCCGTGTACTTTAGGTTAGAGAAATTTCAATTTCCAAATACTTTTTCAACATTATTTTCGCGTTTGTTTAAAAATAATAACAAAAATTTACAATCGCATTATAATAAATACAAATTTTGGGGATTTTCGGGAGGGTAAATGTATAAAAAATGTAGAAACTAACAAAAAACTAAAGTTCCATAAACAATCAAAGACTTAAAGTCTAATACATGATAACGTTACTCTTCTTCCTCACCATCGGTTTTAAATTCCGCCCTTTCCCTTGGCTTTTCCATGTGCTTTTCATTACATTGTTTTTTGCTATTCAAATAGTTAGTTGGTTTTTTGTACGCTTCTCATTGCGTGGATTGCGTCAATTAGAGCGAATTGGTCCATAAAGGTCGTTGATCCCCCCGTTCGCACATCTTGTGGCGCCCCATCTTCGGCCATCGGGCGGTTCGGTTCTCAACACATTGGAATTTCTTCATTTTGTAAACTTCTTATAGAAGGTTCTTTCATATTTCTCTTCATATTCTGCCTGCTTCAATACTTCACTTTAGCTTGCTGCTTTCTCCTTCTGTTTCCCTTCTCGACAAATGGCTTTTTTGGGTCTTTATGCTTAAGGTTATATCTCGTATATGTATATATATATGGGGGAAAAAATACATTTAGTGCTTAAAAGCTAAGAGAGTACACAATGGATTTATAAGATATTGGAGCGTGTGTTATATGTTACAATGAATGGTTGTTGTTCTTGTTGATCGGGGAAAGATTGTTGGCTGCTGAGGCTAAGATTAATGCTCGGTACCTGCTCTAATATACTCGATATATTCGCGATCTAAATCTGTAATCTCTATTCTAAGAAGAACGCTACTAGGGATGCGCTAAAATTTGGCAAATTCTATATAATGTACGATACATATTCGCTTGTATGTATATATAAGTTTAGTTTAGGCGTTTATCAAAAAGTTTTTGGGGTCCAAAATCTATAGCGATCGCCCACTAGGGTCGGTCCTTGGTCACTTGGTCAAAATATCTCGACTCGGTCCTATATATATTCGATACGATACACAATATATGGTTTGGTTTCTGATTCTGATGCTGACTCTGATCGGATTGATTATTAAACGATTACATCTAGCACGGTCTAAGTGTGACTGATTTATTTTAGTTATTGTAGTTTTGGTTAGTTTTCTTTCATAAATATTTTGAGTGGATTACTATTTAGTTGTAAAAATTGTCTTGAAACTTTCAATACTTTCTGCTGATCGTAGCCACAATCTTGATTCCTTTTTTCTAAACCGAATTATTTTATACAAATATTTTGTTTTTTGCTTCTTTCTTCAAGAATATCTAAACGCTAAAGCTAAAGCTTTCGCAACGCTATCATGGAAATTCCTATAAAACTAAGCGACTATAACTTGACTCCTCTCGGGCTGCTACAGCTCCGACTCCTGGCTCCTCCTCCTCATCCTCCTCCTCTGTGGACTCCAGCTCCTACTCCTAGTACGGATTGAACTTGTTGCGCGGCTTCTCCGCCTCGCCACCGGTCTCTGTCAGATGCTGGCGGAACCGCGAGGTGGCATAGTGTCCCTTGGCACGGTTCACCCCCGTCGTCTGCACCGGCGGTCCGCCCGGTGTGCCGGCCCCACCGTTGCTGCCCAGCGTGGTCAGATTGAGCAGATCGAGGGCACTCAGATTGGACAGAGCACTCAGCGCTTCCGGCCTTGTGAGCAGTTGCATGACCGAGGCCATTTCATTGGTTCCCTGGCTGCCATTTGCTCTGCCATAGACAGAGGCGACAGCAGCGGCAACGGTCACGGCGGAGACACTGCGGTTGGTGGTGCCACCATTGGTTGCCGTGGCAGTACCATTGCTGGCGGCATCTGCAGCTCCTGCAGCAACGGCACCACCTCCGCCAGTGCCGGTGCCAGCGCCAGTGCCTCCGTCGGTGAGGGCTACCGTTGTGATGGCTCCATTGGTGCCGGATGATGGCGGAGCTCCGGCGATCGCTGTAGTTGCTCCGGTGACGGCAGCAGCCGCTCCGGGAGCAGCTGTGGCAGCGGCGGCGGCGGCGGCTACGGCAGCACCGCCGTTCTGCTGGGCCTGGGCCTGCTCCAGGAGATTGGCCTTCTGCAGCTCAACACTGTGGACGAGGTTCGGTTAGGGTAGATAGAAAGAGAGAGAGAAAGAAAGGAACAAATTGGGATATTGTTTGGTATTTGTTTCGGTTTCTTATTTCTTTTTTTGAGCTTTAGGCAGGTGATAGAGAAAGAGAGATAGGTATTTTCAAAACATTTGGTTCTTTTTTTCGATTTTGTGGAATTGAGTTGGTTTTTTATTGCATTTATTTTTTTCTTCTCGACTCTTTTTCGTGTTTTGTTATATGCAAAAGGTTAAGGAGGTTTTGTGTGGAGGAACGGTTCGGAGTTTGCGGAGAAAGAGAGAGAGAGAGATATAGAAGAGTGGGCGGCTTTTCAGCGATTTTTTGGGGGGTATTTTTTTGGTGGAAGGAGAGCGGCGTTCAAATTTTGGATGGTAGGATTAGAAAACTTTTGGTGAGCGGTTTTTGTTGTTCTCTTTTGAAAATGGGGGGAGGCGTGGACCGAAAGAGTTTTGTTTTGTTTGTTTGTTGACTAGGTTTGAATTTATTTGGAGGATGAACGTGGTGGACGAGGTGGTGGACGTGGTGGGAGGATTCGGTTTGGTCACTGGGAGAGAGAGAGAAAGGTTTTTGGATCGATTTTTTTTTTGAGTTGAACTGCAGTTTGAAGTACCAATTGGATCAGGTCCAGCTTAGCTTAGCTTTTCTTTTCGTTTGTTGTTTGTTCCCGTTTTCGGTTCGATTTCGATATATTCTATATTCGATATTCGCTGTTCGATTTTCGATTGGTCGGTCGATTGTGTGATAAAAGTGTGCGTAGTGATGCGTTGATTAATTCGGTGCTCACAACAATCCTCCTCCATGCCTCCATGCTCATCCTGAACATCCTGCTGAACTGCTGTGGCATAATTACATAAGGATGGTTTGCTTGGTTGCCTTTGGTAACACTAGATGCTAGGTTTTAATTAACAGTTAGAGATAGTTTATAGTTTCTATTAGCTAGAACACAGTTTGGTTAGCGCGATCTAGCGATGCGAACTACGATCTAGGGGTGTGAGGGTGTGAGAGAATTATAAGACAAAGAGAGATAGATGGTGCTAGTTGTAAAGGTCCTTTTGGCCTTATTTATCTGTGACTTTATGGCTTTGCCGGGCTTACGACTTACAGGCTAGGACATGTTGTGTGTGTATGTGTGACTTAAGTTAACGGATTCGTGTTAATCCCCCGGTTCACCCCCATGTCGGGGCCATCATCCATCATCCTACCCACCTCCCCGGGCCTCGTCTTAAATGGTCTTAATGGAACCACCTTATTTTTTTTTTTTTTGATTGTTTGAACCACCGCCACCGCCACTCCGCGACTGAGAGAGAGGTGACCTACGACCGACGAAGACCTCCTTATACCTTCACTTTTATTTGCTTTTTCTTTTTTTCTTTTGTTCTTTGTCAATTAGCAAGTCAATTCGACAAAATTGATGTTAGACAACACAATTCACGCGGAGAAAACAACACTACATTTACATTTCCATTTACATTTACATAGATGTACATCAACATTTAAACATTGGCACAATATACAGATAGAACAGACAGTACAGAGGCAGAAGATGCGATCAGATCCGAGTGAAAGGGCAGAGGGATCGATCGATCGGTAGGGTGAGAAAACGCCGGAAGAAGACTCACCTCATATTGATTAAGTATTGGGCCAGGGCCACCGAGTCCGGATTGCCGCTGATGGTGATGGTGCGATCGGTGTTGCCACCCTCACGCTCCTCGCAGTTCGAGATCCGGATCATGGCGCCAGAGATCTGACGGATCTCGGCGATCTTGGTGCCGCCCTTGCCGATGATGCAACCGATCAGGTCATTGGAGACGGTCATCTCGTGCTGCTGCTGCTGGGCTCGGTTCGCTGGATTCGCTGTACGCAGTTGCGACCCGGCCAGGGCAGCCAGGGCTGCTGGGGCAGAGCCTAGATTAGATTGGAAATCTGTCTGGCATCTGGCCGCAGAAGCGCTCAACTCACCTGTGTGGTTGATGCCCCCAGTGCTGGCCGGATTCATCCCGGCCAGGCCCAAGGCAGCCAGACTGGCCAGCGGGTTCTTGGCCACCTGTTCGTCGGGGATATAAGACTTTAGTTAGTTTAGATTTAATCGCTATCAATTCAAATCGCAAGAGTCAAGGTTCAAGGGCTTCGTGGGTTAAGGTGTGTGTGTCTGTGTTTGTGTGTGTGTATGTGTTTAAATATATATATATGTATACAGGTATACAGGGGTATTATTTATCATCTAGAATTATTCATTAATAAGGGCGGGGCACAGGGGGCGGGAATGGAGAGATCGGAAGATCACAACACAACGCACAGCGCACAACTTCCAGTAACAGGAACATAACAAAAGGTAATTGGAGATTGGAACGAAAACGGAAACGGAAATGGGGAAACAGGAAACAGTAACGCAAAAGCATCAAACAAATAGTTACAAAAACAAACGGAATGCAATAAGCCAACGCAAACGGGAAGATACAAGTTTGATATTCTCTTAGTCTTCAGCTCTTTTTACAAAACACCATCAAATGGAATGTAGAGTGGACTTTGGGGGGATCGATCGTATTTCTCTTTGTACATGAAGGTAGGAGTTTTTTAACACGGTGAGTGTGTGAGTGTGTGAGTGTGTGTGGTGTGTGTGAGAGAGTTTTCTTGTGCAGTGTAAGCTGGTATGTAAGGACTCGGTTTCTGGTTTTCTCAGCTGTCTAACGTTTTATGATTACTACACAATTTACAAAAGTTGGCTTTACAAAAGATATATAGGTAGAAAGAGATATCAAGGCATAGATACAGATGGTTGGAGATAGCAAAAGAGAGCAAGAGATATAAATTTACAAAGGATACAACTAATCCTTGAGTTTCTCTCAACTAAACTTAATTTGCTAACCCGTACATTAACAAATAGTTCAAATGAAATTCAAATATACAGTATTATTAATTTAGAGCTTATTTTTAAGTTCCTAAACTAGTGATTTTCAACCTCTAACCCCTTTAGAAACCATTTAAACCTCTTTCCTATGCAGACTCCTTCAAATCTATGCTTATTTTTTAATATATTTATGATGTATTGCTCTGAAATCTGGGTTAGAATGTCCTTCCTTTGGGCAAAATGTTATACATTCTCAAGTTCTTTTGGTTTTCATCTCGTTTCCTATTTTATTTTTCTCATTTTTCACCAATGACACCTACAGCAAATAACATACACACACACACCCACCCTCTGCACACTCGCACGCAAACGTGTGAAAATTTATTATATAAGGGCTCGAAACTGGGGTGGAGGGGACGGGAAGTATGCACGCGCTTTATAAATTAATCAAATCAAATGCAACACACTTGCAAATTCGTTTCGAATAAATGCATCTGAATGCAGCTAAAAGGAAAAAAGGGTGGACGCCGGGTTCTGGGAGGTGAATAAAACTAGAACAGAGCGCACACACGACAAAAAAAAACTACAAAAATGGATAGAGGGAAAATCTCAAATATAAATCATACAATATTAAAATGCTTTGTGTACTTTTTGTGTAGTTCTGTCTGCATTTGTGTGTGTGTGTGTGTGTATATATATTTATCTGTGAGGGGGGAGGAGAGCTTAGGAAACAAGAACTGAAATATTTATCAAAATGCAATACGAATTTCAAATGAAACAAATAAAACATGCGCCATGGAAATATTTTATGACCCAAAAATGAATTGCAACTCAATAAAAAGTTCACAGACAGTGGCAAAGATGTACAGAGAGAGGGAAAAGGGGGCTTCTGGATGCAAAGGCTTAGGGGGGTGACAACAATGGATTATCTGGCAAAAACTGTCATAAAAACTTCTGTGTGTATATATATGTTGGCATATTAACAAACACTTTTTGCCACACACACTCAAAGCACATACACACAGACAGAAAATCCAGATGGCAAACAAGTTGAAACAATTTTCCAAAAACTACAAAAAACTTTAACAATATCAGGAAAATAGTGTCAGAGAAAACGTGGGTGGGTTTTGTTGGGGGGTGTTTATAAGGCAACCGTAAAGTGCATTTGTTGATGACTTTTGGACTGGGATAAAGGGGTTCGCTTCCAAGTCCCATTTCAGGCTGCCTGATTTTTAGTGCGACCAATGACTTTGTGGCAGCGAACGACTTCAGGGACCTCAACTCGGACCCTGGAGTTGCATTTTGGCCCAATGCTAATGTCATTGAAAGCCGGCCGAAAACAGCAGCTCCGCCAACGGAGGGGGGATCGTAAAAGAAATGCCAGAAAAGGTAGTAAACTGGGTGGTGTACACAAAGCTACATAAAACACACCGGAACTATAGGGGCTACTAAGGAGTTTGGCTACGGGGTAGAAATACAACAGCAAACAAACGAAAACACAACTATCTACACTCGCAGGAAAAATTATTAATCATTTGCCCTTGAAAGAAATATTTAAATAAAAGTTACATTAAGGAGAGATAAGCATAAAAGCAGAACCAGTAGTTCCGCTTTCTTATTAATTACATGGTTTAGAATTCCAAATTTCCTCATTTCTTGGGCAAAACTTCAACATAATTTTCCTGCAAGTGTATTTGGTCAGGTGAAAGGGTTTGCAGGCTGGGGTCAAGGGGCAATACAGCATCATGCTCTGCCTAGCGGAGTTGGATTCTGGGGTCATGTTTGCTTTTGATTATTATTGATTAGACACGAGTACGGTTTTTTTCCAGAGTCTGGTGGTGAGATTGTGTTTCTTTAATTTTTTTCTGGTATTATTTTGATATTTGTTTCATAAACCGAATTCGCATCGATAGCTAAAAAACTCACATCGGGCATTTGCTGTAGGTGATGGTGGTGTGCTGGTACCGCTCCTTGTAAATGTGCCCCCTTTAACAAAGGATCCGCCAAGCCTGAGATACCAGCATGTAGACCGCCGGTAGCCAGGGCAAGTGGAAATACTGGACAGGTCTACGTTCGATTGATCGATTGATTGATTGAATTGATTGATCGTTACCGGAATTAAGGTTTGAGTGTGTGTAGGTGTGTGTGTGTATATGTTTGGAGTTACAATTTTGTTGTTGACCAAGGGAAAGAAAGAAAAGTAGAAAAACGAAAATTGTATACCACAAATAAATGTCTTTCGGAGCAAGTTGATTAAGATCTTAACATTGTAGTTTTTTTGCTATGGAGAGATGTAAGCTTATCAGATACATGTTTTTTTTTTTAGATAGAGACATATTCGCTAGAGAAACGCTTCGGGAGAAAGCTTTCGAGACGTGTGTGTGCGAGTTTCTGGTAATGGATACTAGCGGGGGAAAATCAGACGCAGAACAGAGTTATATATAAATGATATATATCAGAGGGAGGACGGGATATAACAACAAAAATATGATGACAACTAAGAGGCGGAACCGAGACAGAGGCGCAGGTGGAGAAGGTGGAGACGTGAGAGTGAGAAGACTAGCGGGGGTCCAAGGATTCAAGGGGCTTCCAACGACAGACACCATCATCATCATCATGGAGACTGGGGGGAGGACTGACTCTAAGAATGCGCAGGAACAGGAAGTACAGTTGCCTGTGAGTACCACTAATAACTGTACCCAACTGTGGTGGGGATTCACAAAACTACACGCCGAAACGTAACCAACACCGACAATAACCAGGACCAGGACCATGACCGGGACCAGGACCAGGACCAGGACCAGGAGGAGACTTAGAGTGAGAAAGAGCGAGCGATTTGTGGAAGACAGACAGAGAGAGAGAGAGATCGCAAATGGATGGTACAACTAGTTTTTGATTTATTACATTTCTCTGGACATTAATTGAATTTGATGCGACGACAACAAGAACTTTGTCTGTTTTTTAGTTTTGAGAAACTTTTATTATTTCGGTTTTTTTTTTCGTTTTCGGGGGCAATGGCTGGCGAGGGGGGCTCTGAAGGGGCGGAGAGAAACTGAACTGAAACTGAAATTGAACTGAACTTTACTGTGTGCTGTTTGTTGTACCTTACTGTACGTGTCCGGACTGTACTGTGCTGCTGTACTGTACCGAGAGTTCTGAATTGAATTGAATAGAATCAAGTTTGTTGTTTGTTTTTGGCTTATGTTTGTTGTTCCTGTTGTTTTGTGGAGCAGAAAATTCAATTTTGGTCTGGGGGTTTTTTAACAGAGTTATAAACAATATTTATTGATACGGAGAGAGATAGAGATAGATAGATAGAGATAGAGTTTTGTGTGAGAGATGTGAGGGCTCGGGCAGGATGGTTTTTAGAACAGTATGCCTATGTTGTTGTATGTAGTTTGCTAATTGCATTTGTTGTTGTAGTTGTTGGTGTAATTGTTGTTGAAACTCATCAGAATATGTCGGCTTAATGTTGTTGTAAATGTTGTGTGGTTGTGAGCTTTCCAGTCTCTCTATTATTTTTGTTAGGATTTTTACAGAGAACTAAACAATTTGAATGATTGGCGGTGAATTTACTACACAAAAACTCAAGAGAGATATATACGGAGGCAGGATGTGATAAATATATTGATTTTTAGAGTGAGACAAAAGACTGGATTTTATTATTTTTCTGGCTCTCATAAAAGGACTTTAACTTCGATTGGACTTTGTCTTGTGTGTGTAAATGGGTTGGCATTATTTAAATTAATACGTGTTTTTACTCTGGATACGGATACGATGTGATAGATGTGTGTATGTAAATGGATGTTTTGTTTTTGGAAGTTGAAATATAATTGAGAGTCTTGGGACTAGTGTAGTTTGAACATACTTCTCCACACACGCTGCCAGCGAGCCCTCTTCAGAACAGAACTTAGAGACACAGAGAGATTGAGCGGAGAGAGTGGAGAGTAGAGAGTGGAGAAAGAGAGTGAGAGAGCGGGGAAGAATAAGAGTTCTAGACCCCGTTTGTCCTTCTTTCACACGAACTCACACTCGCCTCGCCTCGCCACGCCTTGAACACTCTTCCCAGAGCCCAGAGAATACAACGATTCTCGGTCGGGACTTGCGATTTTCTTCTCGCAGATTCTCGGAGATTCTCGGAGACTCCCGGAGACTCGCAGCGGGACAGAGACAGATACAGATGCTGCCCGCAGCAGACCGATAGTGAGACAGAGAGAGGGCGAGACACCTCGCAGCCACACGCTCTTAACCTGAGAGAAGAGAGTGCAAAAGAAACTAAAAGCAAAACAAAAATTACATATTTAAAGAATATTTTACAATTGTTTCGTTAAATTATTATCGTTATCGTTAACGTCGATTCGATGGCTGTAAAGTTTTTTGGTTAACACATTAGTTCACTGATCGGGGTCACCATTTGGACTTGAAAAAGAGATGATTCTCAAGGGTACGACGAATGGATATCGGAACGGTATCGGTAATCGGTATCGGAATTGTCAGGTTGGGTTAAGAAAAATAATCAATACGGTTCACAAATCGTGGAAGGGTCTTCTCTGGACAAATAGCTTCTAGGGTCTCCAAGTAGAGAATTAACGGAGAAAGGTGGGGAGAGTGGGGTCTCGTGGACGGTGTCGCAAATAATAATCGGGTTCCATAGAGACGAGCAATGGGGATTATCTGGATCTGGATTATATCGGCAGAAACACAATATAGAGAAATAGACAGAGATATATATATATATAGAGAGAGAAAGAGGTAAAGTGGAGGTCATGTAAACTAAAAGAGATATTAAGAGGCAAAACAGAAAGTGAAGACGCGCAATAACCAAAAAAGATAGTTGGACTGGATTGGGGCAATAACCAAAGAGATACAAAATTGTTTAGCTGGACATGTGGACATGTGGGGTCGGTTAAGATAGAGACAGAGAGCGAGATATAGAGAGAAATAGATATATAGCTGCAGTGGCTGGCAATAGAGTACACAACACTGTTCACTGATCTTAACAACACGTTAGCCTGGTTTTTTTTTATATATTTCGGTGAGAACACACTTTCGCCAGTGCATCATCATACATACCTCTTGTGTGGGCACTGCGTAGTTTCCTTGAATGGTAAAGGCCTGTCCATTGGCCAGGATGACGGGGCCGGTCACCTGCGGTTTTGGTCGATACGGGATGGTAGCACCGCGTGGCGGGGACTGTTAAAAAACAAATAGTGATCAGTAAGGCACGCTCAAAGTTAATCTAGTAAGGTTCTTGACACATATAATATGTAATTCAAGGACCCTTTTATACCATTCTATGGTAAACTCACCTCCAACATGACAAGACATATCTGATAGATACACTGGGTGATCTGCTCGGCACTGCCGCTCAAGGTAACCGACCTCTCTGTAGAATTGGGCAGCATTTCACTGGCCACCTGGATAGAGCAGCCGGTGGTCTGTCGAATTTCCTTGATCTTTGAGCCACTCTTGCCTAGGTTAGTCCCGATGCAATTGAATAAATAAATGGCATTAGTGATGATAAAACATCGAAAGAGTTAATTACTTACCAATTAACGATCCACATTGACTGGCGGGCACAATCAATCGAATGGGTATTTGAGTTTTGCCAACTTTGCCTACATCATTGAACTGCGAGCACCACTGCAACGGGTCAGAAGTTAGTAATGTGAACTGGAAATTATTTAGGCTTTCTTTTTTTGGGGCACTGTTGCTTATTGTACCGCACACATACCTCTTCGAACTTCTTTGTAATGAGCGTAAATGCCGAAAAGATTGCATTAGTTGTACCAGACACAGTCACAATGCGCTCCGGGCATGAGCCATCCGAAATGTTGATTTTGGCACCAGACTGCCAAAGAAATCAGAATGGGATTAGCTTCCAAGAAGTTTTACTTCAGAGAAAAACTTACCTCTTCACGAAATCTGTTGACAATTTCACCCTTTTTACCAATAATACTACCCACTTCCTGCAAAGACACAAGAGATACAGAAAGAGAGAGAGAGAGAGTTGTTAAAATATGTATTCGAGTTGGAAAACATGTTGCAAAGTAACTTTTAAATGCTCTTAAGATGTATATTCTTTCCACCCGCCCCGAGGCTATCAACAGTCCGGACATTGAAAACACTTTATGCCAGTGTTTTCCGCCACCGTTGCCTGTCAGCGACGAAGCACAAATTTGATTAAATATTAAGTGATATTATGCCAGAGCATACACACACGAGGCAGTGGGTGGTGTATGTGTGTAACTACTTTTGCATATTTAATTGCCACAAATTCACACTCCTCCTCCTGCTGTACCCCAGTGGCAACCAGAAAACCCAATCCCAATCCAAAACTCGTACCCAAACCCATTTCCCTTTCACAGTCAGATGTCCGTCTGTTGACGGTGGGACACTGTCGCTCGTAATGAAATTTGCGGCCAGCGCGTTTTACGCGTTTTAATTGATTGTAAATATCAGCACTGCCGCAGACAGTGCTGAGTTCCAACACGAAATAAAAAAAATAAAAGGAAAAACCTTTGTGGAGAGGTGGAAATTTCAGCTGGCTTCTGTACAGAAATGGTTTTAAATCCTCACCCCCATAGCCTTATGGGATAATCAATATATCAATAATTTTTAACATGCAAGTTATTCATCCATCCCTCAATGCTTTTAATTCAGATCTGATGCATTTATTGGTAAATAAATAATCATGATCAGTAAATAACTATGAGCAGTAAGTAACTTTGATCAGTAAGTATCTATGACCAGCAAGTAACTATAATCAGTAAGTATCTATGAGCAGTAAGTAACTACATATAATCAGTAAGTATCTATGACGAGTAAGTATGTATGATCAGTTACTAACTTTGAACACTGATAAACAATGACTTGCAACTTTTGTAACACAACACATTTCTGAGACTACGCCGGCAGAAGTCACTTCGTTCCGGGGATGTTATAACCAGTTGGGAATCATAGGCACGGATGTGCGAGATTTGCTTTGGATCAAATTTAAGCTATTTAAATGAAACTATGGAGTTATTCTTCTACGATTTATAGAACTATGATCTTTAATTAAATATGATTAGTAATTAACTATAAACAGTAAGTATCTATGATCAATAATTAACTATAAGTAGTAAGTATCTATGACCAGTAAGTAACTCTGAACAGTAAATATGTATGACCAGTATGTAACTATGATCAGTAAATATAAATGAACATTAAGTAACTATGATCAGTAAGTATCTATGACCAGTAAGTATGTATGATCAGTTACTAACTTTGAACACTACTAAACAATGACTTGCAACTTTTGTAACACAACACATTTCTGTGACTTGGCCGGGAACAGTCACTTCGTTCCGGGGATGTTAGAACAAGTTGGTAATCATTTTCACTATGATCAGTGAGTATCAATGAACATTAAGTAACTCTGAACAGTAAGTGTCTATGACCAGTAAGTATGTAAAGGGGACCAAAGTCTAAAGTCTATACCTAGGTCTGATCCCACCAATAGCTTCTTCATACATAATATAAATGTTATGGTTAAGACATGCCGCAGTAAAGCCCACTTCATTGTTTACTTCCTTCCAGTGTAGTGACCAAGATTGGGTGACTTTATCCAAGTGAGCTTCTTCCTGGTCATCCAGATGTATTGCATTGGCCACGTCATATTTTTGGGATCTTAAGGTAATCACTATCACTATCACTTGAGATGTTAACACTAGGTACCCCTAGGACAGACTGAGGCGCGCGGGCCCTTAGCACCTCTATTTATAGTCCCCGAGAAAAGAGAGGAGCAGAGAAAGTGATTGTGAGTGGGCGGGAGAGGAGTTGCATCTAGAGATTAACATAGAGCGACTAACACAGCGAGAGAGGGGGAGAGGCAGAGAGTAACTCTGTAACTAAGTAACTCTGATCAGTTAATATCAATAAGCATTAAGTAACTCTGAACAGTACGTATCTATGAACATTAAGTAACTATAATCAGTAAGTATCTATGACCAGTAAGTATGTATGATCAGTTACTAACTTTGAACACTGATAAACAATGACTTGCAACTTTTGTAACACATCACATATCTGAGACTAGGCCGGCAGAAGTCACTTCGTTCCAGGGATGTTATAACCAGTTGGGAATCATATGCACGGATGTGCGAGATTTGTTTTGGAGCAAATTTAAGCTATTTGAATAACACTATGGACTTATTTGTCTATATAATTTTACTAGTATATAAATCGGAGCATGGCGAATCGGTGGACTATATTTATATATATATGCATAGGAACGATCTGAAAATTTTAAGAAAATAGTCTAACTTTTCCAGCTTTCAACAGATTTATATCAAGTTTAATATATATCCAATATATAATAATTTAGAATTTTAAGAAAATCGGATTAATATATGTAATAGCTGCCATACAAACGATCACTAAAAATAAAGGAATGTGCAAAACTGGGAATAAAATGAAAGCAGGCAAAACTTTATTGTTTTTATCATAAATGTATATAAACTATATTGTATTAATTCCTAATGGTCGAATTTCAATCTGCAGGGGTATACAAACTTCGGCGTGCCAAAGTTAGCTTCCTTTCTTGTTAAAGAATTACATTATTTTGCACCTCTATTTATTTAAAGTCTCTCGATAATTTCCATTTAAAATGTGTGTTTTTGCTACTCGCATTTAGGGATTTCGATACATTTTATTTGGCCATGCTAAAATGTTGCCACTTGCAGCAGCAACCATTCAATTTGTTGGCCATAAACCATAGCGAACAACCTTCACAAATCCAAAGTGCAGCAATCTATTGTGACGAAGAGAGCGCACCCAAAACCCAACAAATATGTATGTAAATATATATATATCTTTTGGGACGGCGGCAACGGGCAGTTTGCCAAACAAAATGCAAACTGGGCAAAACAATGTCCGAGAGAGGGAACTATGTGGTGGTATCCCCCTCCGTCCTCCTCCTCCTAGGCATTATCCGGATTTTTATGCGCCGTTTGCATCTTGGCCGCTCTTTTCTTTTTTGAGGGTAGGGAGAATATTTATGCCCCACCAATCGACACAACAACAACTACTCGAATTTATTCGCAGGCATAGATATTTATTGTACACAAATGTCAGACCGAATTGGCATAATTATTGGCGTAATTATCGTTGGTCGCCAGCGACCCGAACTCAGATGCGTTTTTACGCCTGTCTGCCTACTTGGCGGTCTGTGTGTGTTTGCAATTTATGGGACAAGTTTCGTGGCTGTAAAGTGTATCTGAGTATCTGTATCTGCGTATCTCTGTATTCGTATCTGTATCTACAGCAACATCTAAGTGCTCGGTGGAGGCCTAGAAGGTCCCTCATAACCATTCACACTGATGGCGGCTCATCAGCGACTCGGAAAACGGTCTCGGGGCCCCATCATCATCATTAATAATGTGGCCAAAAGCCGCGCTCTCCCGCACTGGACCGCTTTCCATTCAATTATCCCTTGTGTGATTGCAAGCCAGTTTCCGTTCAGAAGTTTGCGCAATTTGCATAAATCGGATCTGCCGGACATCACTGGAGGACCCCCTGCTGCTCCTGCTGCCCTTATGGAGGCGTATTTTCGGGACTTTCACTTGATTGCATCGATTCCGCCTCCACCCTATCCTGACCCTCTATAATCCCCTGCTGTTTACTTTACTCCCTCCTCCCGGCCGGCAATTAAATTCCCTGAATTCCGGCGTACATCTCCTGCAACAATGAACACAAAACGCATTTGGCATTTTCCCATTTTCCGATTTTCACATGCGTGCTATTTTGCGTATGCAAAAATCACTTTGCGGTCGAGAGCCGGCACATTTTTCCCCCCCACAGTTCAGTCTGTGTGTTGAATGTTTTGGTTTTTGGATCGGATTTGGAATAGGATTGAATTGCTTCTCGTTATTCTATGTAAAATATGCATAGAAAAAGTTGACAACCACCAGACACAGGCTGTGCTCTTTCAGAATGCCAGTATTCGCTTCTGTGGTTAGAGAATATAAGATTTAGCTCCCTTTTATATAGAATTTGTTGTTGTTTTTAGTCGGAGGATTATTACAAATCTGTTGGTTGCCAGCTAACATTGATGCTGTTTCAAAGAACTACCATGTAAATGTAAGGCTTAAATAACAGCGTTACAAATGTGAGAAGATTTTGAGTTTGAAACTGTTAGTGAAATCATATTTGTTGGTACATTTAACCTGTAAATATAATACTTTTATTATTTAAATTGTATGGAAAACTAACGAAAGGGATTTTCCTCAGAAATACTAACAAAAATTGTATTTCAATCACCTATCAAACCATAAAAATCTAATCTCCGTATAATTAAACAACTTCTTTGTTAGCTTTATCCTAATATAGAGTAGAGCAATCTTCCCATATTTGCACAGCAATATTTTCTAGTACTAAATATATGATAACTCTCTAATGACTTTTGCACATCTTTTGTAGTTTCCCACACAATCTCTGGCCAAGAGCAGAAATTTTAGCTAGTTCCATTTATCACCATAAGATGGGACATGAAAACATGGACTGCTCCAAAGATTATGACAAATAACAATGGCCAATGGAGAGCCAAAGCACAGACAATAACAGAAAACGCATTAAAGTTGAAGTCCAAAGAATGGACAACGCTAATTGTGGGGCACAATAAAGGCAGTAGATGAAGCTGAGGCAAGTTGGGGGGAAAATATATATATATATAAAAAAAATAAAGAGAGGTTTTGATGTTAGTGGAGCACTAGACAGTAAAGACGGTATAAAAAAAAATAGAGAGAGAAAAGAAAACAAACTTGGCTCTTAGCTTAGACAACAACCCAAGCAGCATGACTTGTTTCATGTTTTTCCCCTTTTCAGCGCTTTGTGAATTTTTGGTTTTTTAAGTACAAGAGCCGGCGTTGAAAATTTGTACAAAAATAAATAAATTGCAGATACAAAAGAAAACAGCAGCAGCAGCAGC